TTTCCTCCCACTGTCTGGATGGGACACCAGCAGGATCCCTAGCCCTGGAAAATCCAGCTGCCAACATCAAATCTGGCCAGCTGCACAGCTGGCAGTCGTATCTCAGACTGGATGTGACGGACCATGGCCCTGATGACAAACAGACAGGCCACCCAGACAGCACTGAGCAGGCCACCAAGAGGCAGCTGCCTGGGCCAGGGGCTCTGGGATGAGGGCCAGATGAAACAGAAACCTCTTGTGTGGCTCAGCCACATGGCATCTCACTCTCTCCACATACCCACTTGCTCATTCATTCATTCATTCATTCTGGAGGCTGTCATATGCTAAATACTCCTATACACTGGGGTCCCTGAGATTGGTGCCACTGTCCTACCATCTGGAGCTGCGCTCTCCAGTATGGTCGACGTGAGCCACGTGCAGCCACTGGGCACTTGAAGAGTGGCTCATCTGAATTGAAACACGTTATAAGTGTCAAGTATACCCTGGATTCCAAACACACTGTACAAAAGGGGAAAAAAGCGGTGCCTGGGTGGCTCAGTGGGTTAAGCCTCTGCCTTCGGCTCAGGTCGTGATCTCAGGGTCCTGGGATCGAGCCCCGCATCGGACTCTCTGCTCAGTGGGGAGCCTGCTTCCCCCTCTCTTTCTCTGCCTGCCTCTCTGCCTACTTGTGATCTCTCTCTGTCAAATAAATAAATAAAATCTTTAAAAAATTTTAAAAACAAAAAGGAGGAAAAAGGGATATAAAATATCTCATTAAGATTTTATTATATTGAGTATATACTGAAGTGATAATATTTTGGATAGATTTAGTTAAAGACAATATATTATTAAAATTAACTTAACCAGTTTCTTTTTACATTTGTTAACGGGAGTAACTAGAGAAATTTTAGAACCTCTGTAGCTCACTTCCTATTTCTACTGCACGACGCTGGTCTAGAGAGTTGTACTGTAGAGAAGAGGGGCTGAGTTCCAAACTGGGGTAAGGGTGACATTACTAGCTGGCCCAAGGTGCCAAGGGAGCCCAAAGGAGACTTGGCTTGAACTGCGAGAGGCGGGGGGGGGGGATGCAGAGCAGCTTCCAAGGGTTCGCATCTAAACCAGCCACAGGACAAATGTGAGTTAGCTCCAGGACCAGCGCACTCCAGGAAGGAGCCCAATCTATACAAAAGGACACAACTGAGAAGCCCAGGGAGCTTCAGGTAAGTCTCCAGTAGCCGGAGAGGGGGAGGTATACGAGAAAGCAGTGAAACCAGAAAGAGCGACCAACGTCAGTTCCGGAAGATCAAGTCCAGTGCTGTCCAGCAGAAGTCCAATGAGAGCCACGCACAAATTTTTCAGTTTTGTTGTAATCACATTCAGAAAAGCAAGAGTAAAATTGTGATAAAAAGTAACGTCCTCACAGTTTTACTTTTCACTTTAGTGATATATTTTACTTAACCCAGAATATTTAACACGTTATCCTTGCAATATGTGATGCATGTCAACAATTCTGAATGAGACAGTGCATAGTCTGTCTTATTAGGTCTTTGAAGTTGGCCAGCTGGTTTACACTGAAATCTGTGTTGGCCCCCGTCCAAGGGTCCAGTGGCCCCCGTGACTCGTGGCTCCTGCATTAGGCAGTGCAGGTGTACTAGGCTTTTCTCGAGTGCAATGGAAAAAGGTTTTAAGCAGAAGTGTATCTTAGAAAAATGCCAGCCCCAAGAGAGAACAAGCAGCTTTCTGGAGGTTCTCACCATCACCAGCTTTTGGGCATTGTCACCTACAGAGGTGGCTCAGTTTATAAACTGGTAATTTGGGAGCAAGGTCTTTTTTTGCAGACTCTACCTTGTGATGGGATTATCTGAGGGCAGCTTTGGAGAGCAGAGGCAGAGCCCTTTACCAGTTGTTTTGTTTTTAAAGATTTTATTTATGTATTTGACAGATGGAGATCACAAGTAGGCAGAGAGGCAGGCAGAGAGAGAGAGGAGGAAGCAGGCTCCCTGCCAAGCAGAGACCCCGATGCGGGACTCAATCCCAGGACCCTGAGATCGTGACCGGAGCCGAAGGCAGAGGCTTTAACCTACTGAGCCACACAGGCGCGCCCCTGTCCCAGGTTTTGTCCAGAGTCCTGAAAAGGCGGAACTGCTCTCTCAGTTCCCAAGTGGTTCCAAGTGGTTCCACCCACCTTTCAGATGGTGACCGGGGGCAGATTCCTTCGATTTTCACCTTTGGGTTTCTCTTCTGTGAACCCGAGGTGTGCAGATAAAAAGCAACCTATGTACCTCATACATTAAGCAAAGCCTCATACTGTGCCTGGTAAAGAATTGCTCAAAAGATTGTAATTCTTTCCTCTAAGCTGTCATCAAAAGGACTCTTTCACACGCTAAGAGCAGCATAAGATGTCAACGCAGACAGCATAGCTGGGGATCAGACCACTTCAGTCACCTCTTAGGAAGACTCCTAACCCTTTCTCTATCCCCCACAGAAGAAATTTCAAGGAATCAGTTCATTTCGCAGGGCCCCCTGGGTAGCACAGTTGGTTAAGCGTCTGACTCTTGGTATCGGCTCAGGTCATGATCTCGGGGTCCTGGGACTGAGCCCCAAGTCCGCTCCACTCTCAGTGTGGGGTCTGCCTGAGAGTCTCTCTCTCCCGGGCTCCCTCTGCCCCTCCCACTCGGGCACACACTCTCTCTCTCTCAAATAAATAAATGAAATCTAAAAAAAAAAAAAAGAAAGAAAGAAAGAAAGAAAGAAAGAAAGAAAGAAAGAAAGAAAGAAAGAAAGAAAGAAAGAAAGAAAGAAA